GAACCAAACCGATTTGGGAATACAAAACGACGTGGTTTGATAGATAGTAAAAATCGGTAAGTTTTTTTGGTAATCAATGTGGCTACATTCAGATACTTAATCTTTTGATGTAGTAGGACTTCTTTGATGAGGCAACAGGTTTATTTTTTTGAAGATGAAATTAATGACATTTATGTTTATTAGTTGTAATCTCATTATTTTTTTTATGGCAGTAGGGTTATATTTTTATTTTTATTTTTCTAATGGCAGTAAATTTATTTTATTAGTTAATTTCGGATTGTTACTTGTTAATTTTCTCAAAGAAATGTGATAGAAGTCCAAATTCATCGTTAATCAAACATCGGTTTTATACCGAACTGATTCGAACCGATAATGAAACCGAAATCGAAAATAAACCGAATTGATACCGATACCGTTTACCGAAAACCGAAAAAACGATTCGTACAGAACCGAAAAAAAACCGACATACACGGTTTTAAAATATAAAAAACCGATATTATCAGTACGTGTTTGGTTTATTGCAAAAACCGAACCGTACCGACCCGTGCACACCCCTACATTTGTCATATAAAGTCCATTAAGAGAGCCCACTAAGAAGAAGCGCACAAAGAGAGACCAATCTATGAAAAACCCAAACTTCCATGAGGCTGCCACTACCCTGCGCTACAAGGAATGGGCGGTTGACAGATGGGACTAGCATTACGGTAAAGTGACAGCGAGAACAACAGTGACAAGGACTGGAGAACTATCCACGTGGGGCCCGATAGCGAGTAAGGATCGACAGGTGAGCTCTTGTCCTGTAAAGTCGGACGGGCTTGCAGAAGTCGCCACTCAATCAAAAGAGCTTGCGTCCTAAGAAAAGAGTTCGCTGGAGAAGAGGTAAGAAAATCCGGAAAGTCATATCATCCCTACGAGGGGGCATGACCTAGGAGTGACAACGGTACCTCCCACCCTAGACAAAAATGCAGGTATAAATAGCAAAAGGTAGAGAAGATATACGTTTTTTACACCAATATTACCTACTTTCCTCTATCTCGATTGCTCAACTGACTTGATTGTCGGAGTGCTAACATCGGAGACTCCTAGTGCTCCTTATTTTGCAGGTCTTTTGGGCCCCATTTAAACCATTCCCAAATCCAGCATATATTCACATTATCCTATCTCGACCATTCGGGTCGAATCAACATTCGAGTTAAAAAATTATAGGAAGTCGTCTTTCTCTGTGTCATAAATAAACCGTCAATTTAACAAGTTAATGACTTATTTACTAGCACATAAAGATTAGTTAGTTACAATCAACCGTCAATTATGATTCTAATAATATGCTCACAATGGATATAATTCACGGTGTATATATGAGAATCAATTATACATAAAACATTAATGTTCAAGTTCCAATAATGGCTACCTATGTATATCCTATATTCATGCCAATTACACCTAATCATGAACACAAGAAATAAAGTATGATAAAAATAAACACATTAATGAAACTTCTATAAACATGAAATTCAATCCAAGAATTCACAATGGGTACTCTTGGGTGCTAAATACCAACACGCAAGTGTACGTATCGCAAACAAGTAGTAAAGTAGACTCGTGAGAGTCGGATGTCGATCCCACAGGAAATACGCAAATTATCTAATCCTAAGTACCAAATCCTAACAATTATAATTTTTATCCAGCCTACGCAGGGTTGTCAATTTAGTTAACTAAATAAAATAAACTAATTAAGAAAGCAATTAAACACGAGAAAATATCAATATAAAACGGATCTAGGATTTTATCTTCCCCCTATGCGATAATTCTTCACCCAATTAATCTTCTATCATGCAAGTTATGATTCCCGATTATTAACCCAAGACACGAAATTACTCATAACCAGCTGTCGCTGTATTATAAGTCTATTATTCATAAAAGATTCACTATATGTCTATGCAAACCTAGTATGAATAAAGCATTAAATAACAAGTCTCGAAAACGGCTACCTAAGGTATTATCTGTATGTCTACGATAATACATGCAATCAACACACGCATTCGGTGAAAAACTACTCGAAGGCTCTTCTATCCCTGTTCTAATTATTAAAACGATCTGTCAATCAATTCTAACAATAACTAATAGCAACATAAATTAGCTACGTTCATGCGCTAAATAAGATCAAGATAGAAGAAATAATCGAAGAATTAAACTTGCATAAAAGTAGAAAAATAGGTTCGAATTACCACATAGGGTTCCAATAAAATCCTAGAATAAAAACTTAGCTACTCGTAATTCTTATGATAAACAAAATAAAAATAAAAGAAATAAGAAAAACTATGCTTGAGTCTTCGTTGATCTTCGTTCTTCGCGTTTTGTGGTGTAAAATTTCGTTCAAAGATAATCCCTCATTGTGTGCTTGGGTTGGTCTTTAAATAGGGTGCAAAAATATAATAGGGCGGGTTTCCTTGTGTAATTAAACTTCCTCGATATTTTCACTTTTGGCCCACTTTTTCTCCGAATTTGCAGTTTTCACCCCAAAAGTTGCCAATTCTTCAATTTGCACCTAAAATACAAATAATAACCATTTTAAGCACCAATTATCGTTAAAACACACCAAAAGCTCAAATAAAAAAAGTACAATTAAGTGTATAAATATACACTTAACAGGTACCAATAAAATTTTAGATTAAATGATGAACTAATCGTATAAAACATAATAAAAATTAAATTAAGCTTATATCTAAGAAAACTATAAAATAAACTAAGAAACGAATAAATTTAATTAATATCGATGAAGAATGTAGAGAATCTGAAATCAAGGCTTCATTGTACGTCGCCATTCCTATCTTCGGGAATGTCCTTTTTGAAAGTATACTCCTCTTCCTATGATTATAGAACAATGATTTGTTAGGTGTTTTCCTATCTTCTTTTTTGATTAAAATAGAGTAAAAACCGCACAAAATAGTGGTTGTCTGCACCGCTCGAGCACCAAAAACGCGTATTTTCTTGTGACTCTCGGCAATTCCAGCTCGAGCGCCACTAATTTGCGTCCAACTGTGTGTGATCGAAAGCACAAACATCAATTTCAAGCATGGTTCGCCGAAATGTCGCGGTCTGCATTCCCGGACATTGCTGTTCTAGTTCCATTGCAACGTCGCGTCTGCTTTGTGACCGAAACGGACAAAATATAATCAATAATTCTTTAAACCTTGAGAAGTAGAAATAAGGGTGAAATTGTAAGTTATGAAATTATCTGATTACTTTAAGACAAATAAAAAGCAAATAGGAGTAGATTGCAAATTTTGAAAGTCTAATAAACCTACTCATAATCCTACCAAATTTTGACCCAATTTTTGGTGTGCATCCAGACCACCACCAGACCTTCCCATGTTCTTTTGTTTTTTTTCCCTTTTTTACTCGGCCCAACAAATTTTTCTCCCATTCTTTTTTCTCCCGTTTCAACCCGTTTCGGCCGCGACACAGTCATTCTGTGATTGCGCCTCGCCAGTCCCGGTGTTCGGGCGCGTCACAGTGCAAAAATCGGTTTGGTTAAGAATTTCGGAACGGAGGACACCGTTCCGGCACCATCTGGCGCCGTTCCGGCAAACCCTAATTTCAGGCCTTGTTTTGACCTTACCGTCCCAATTTGATAACACTTAAAACATGAGTTGCAACCCTTTAAGTTTTGTTTTTTCTAAGGCCGCTTAAATCAAGGTAATCAAACATCATACGGGGATACATATGATCCAAAATGTACACATTACAAAAATTGTTGCGAGATTTCTTCTCCGAAAGTTGATTTTCCTTCCGAAAGTGCACTTTTTACTCATTCTTCATCCATTTATTAACTCTAATTAACTACAAGATAAATAACTAAGAAACGAGCAATAATTAAATCTACAAATAGACGAGAAAAAAAAAAAAAAAAGAAAGAAAGAAACAATTACAATATACGTGCATAAGACTCTCTCTTAAAAATGGTTCTCAAATTGTTGTTCAGAAAGCCATAAGAAAGTCCAAATATTCCCTTTTAACTTCTAGTGACAAATAAGCGGCTGATAGATTGGTATCTTATAGGGACGTGACATACACTTATCGCCTATCAATAAATACAAAAATCTTGAATTAGAAGTGGAAATGTAAATAATTGTAAGTCAGATCAGCAGGGCTGGTTCTGACTATAGGTGAGAGAGGCGGTCGCTTCCGGCCCCCAATTTATAGAAAAAGATTAGGAGCCCTCAAATAATATTTTTGTACGCTTTATATATACTTGTCATAGTATTAAATGGTATTTACAATATATAAACAATTCAATTATTTGAATAACCATAACTAAATTATTTTACATAGTTTAAGTATATGTTGGAAATTCTCACACTTATTCTTGCATTTGTGAAATGTCTTAGCTCAGTTATTTAGTTAGATATTCATTTCTTCCATCAAAATTTTATCTATTTCAAGATTTTAAACTTTTTCTCCATTAATCTTTGCAATTTTAGTAATCTACGCATCCTATGCTAATGAAATATACTATATTTTTTTTTATTTAAACCAATGCTACATATTGACTTGTTCAATAATATTTATATGACTATTTTCACAAAAGAAAACAAAAACTTCACGGTTCTGCCCCAAACCCCATAAATATTTAATTTATTTTAACTATATTAATAATCCAGTCATATTTTCTCCAAAAATCTTAGTATCTAATCAAAAAATTCTTGTTCAGCTGTGTTCCATCAAAATGAATTAGAGTGTACATTATATATCACAAACAGGGACCCATTTATACAAATTCTTACAGCTAGCATCGCACTCCCAATTTCTCAGGACCGGCCCTGAATCGACGTGCACGATCAAAATGCCAATTTGTATACAAACACCACTAATTAATTTTGATGTGACTAATTATAGCCCGAAAACCACATATAATAATTAATTTTGACCAAACAACAAAAAAGAATATTTAAATGGTCCCAAAATTATATAAGCCGCTGCAAAATACCATATTTATCTTCCGAGCCAAACAAGAAATGGGTTCCTCAGAAAACAAAGGGGCGGTGAACCAACCTTTGCTGGAGTCCTATAAACCGGCGCTGCCGGAGGCGGCGGAGGAGGTAAGCTCCGAGCTTGAGGAAATACTGTCGGACGCCACCTTGTCGTGGTGGCGCCGCTACCAGAAAGCAAGTGTAATAGAGTTGAGGTACTTTTTCCGGCTGGCGGGCCCAGCTGTAATAGTATATTTGCTGAACAATGTAACTTCAATGTCAACTCAGATATTTTGTGGGCATTTGGGAAATCTTGAACTTGCTGCTTCTTCGCTTGGAAATAATGGCATCCAGCTTTTGGCCTATGGTCTCATGGTAATTACTTTTTATCCACACAATTTATTTTTCCTTTTTTCTTTGCATATATTACTACTTATCCAACATAAATAAAATAAAACTTGAATTTAAAAAAAATAAAAATAAAGTAGTATTTTTATTTTTATTTTTTTTATAGAAAAAAAGTAGTGTACCAATTTAGCTCTAGCTAAGTTCAATATCAATTATCTAGTATGGATTGTTGTAGGGAGTTTATTGCAATTAATACCCTCTGATCTGTTGTTTTGAATTGTTAGAAAACTAGCCTGTACTATTTTATTGGCAAAACCCTGAGTTAGGTAATGTTTGGATTTGTTTCGGAAGTTATTTCTATTTTACTTTGGGGAATATATATATGAGGTAACTATATTTTTTTCATTTATTTACTATATTATTTTTCAATTTAAGATACTATGGTGTTGTAAAATGGAATACCGAATCATGAAATCATATGGTATTCATAGTATAGAAAATAGAGAAAAAATGAAAAAGAAGAGAGAGAGAGAGAGAGAGAGAGAGAGAGAGAGAGAGAGAGAGAGAGAGAGAGATATAGAGAGGGGGGTTGGGTAAATAGAGAAAAATAAGGAGAAAATTATGGAAAAGAAGGGTATTAGAGGAATAACTAAAAAACTACAGGGGTCATACAATTCAGAAAATATAAAATAGATTTGTTTACAAATCTCGAATTATGATTTGGACCCGACATTTATTATTTTATGTATTGAGGGAGTTTTCCCTTATTTTCCCTTGTTTATATTTTAAGGTGAGAGAAAATATATTGTATTAGTCAAATTATGTTTAAGTGTATTTTAGAAGAATAATTTGAAACTTAAAATGCTGTTAGTGTGCTTATTAGTGAAGACATTTTTTACTATAGCAGTAAAATCTAATGTAGCAGCCAAATCATGTCTGGATGAGAGAAAAACTTTACAAATTGTTATGGGATTTTTTTATTTAAAAGCTAAATAAACACGAATTCGTTTTGGTGAAAGAATAAAAATGAAATGAAAACATAACCAAACATTGCCTTTTAGTTTTCTTTTCGCAATTAGTACCCCTTATTCAGGGGGTTTGTGGTAAAAAAACAATTGAACCATAGGGGGGTTTTGGTAAGAAAATAACATGGATACTCTATTAGCAATTCAATATAATATTGCAATAAAACCTTGTTTTAGTTTTGATTTGTACCACAATTTTTGTAGCTATAAGTTCCGTTTCAATTTCCAAATGTAAAGATTTCGTGCATGATGATAAAAGAATTCAATAAAACTACACGCATAATTAAATTCGTACATGTTTATTTATACATGTGGATTTTAGAATTGAAACTTTTCTATGATCAAATTTGAATCTTGTTATTGGCGACCAGCTGGGAATGGGAAGTGCAGTGGAAACATTGTGCGGGCAGGCGTACGGGGCCCACAAATACGAAATGCTTGGAATATACATGCAAAGGTCGGTAGTCCTACTAATGGTAACAGGGCTTCCCCTAATGCTTGTCTACATATTCTGCAAGCCAATATTGCTCCTCCTCGGCGAATCAAAATCAGTTGCCTCTGCTGCTGCTCTCTTCGTCTACGGTTTGATACCTCAAATATTTGCGTACGCCGCAAATTTCGCGATACAGAAATTCCTGCAGGCGCAGAGCATAGTGAACCCGAGTGCGTATATATCGGCCGGTGCGCTGGTTGTGCACATTTTGATGACGTGGGTTGCTCTGTATGTGTTCGAGTGGGGGCTATTGGGGGCCGGTTTGGTTCTGAGTTTGTCGTGGTGGATTATTGTTATTGCTCAGTTTGTCTACATTTTGACCTCCGAGCGTTGCAAAAAGACGTGGAACGGGTTCAGTTTGATGGCTTTTTCGGGGCTTTGGGATTTTTTTAAGCTGTCTTCTGCTTCGGCGGTGATGCTCTGTTTGGAGACTTGGTATTTTCAAGTTCTTGTTTTGATTGCCGGTTTGCTGCCTGACCCTGAAGTTGCTTTGGACTCTCTTGCTATCTGGTAATTCATTTACAATAGAATCTCGATAAATTAATAGCCTCGCTTGAATAATAATTTCTCTCGGTTCTGACTCGATAAAAATGTATTAAATTATTTGTTCGATAATTTAATATTTCTTACATCTATTTCTTACAAAAGGAAGTTCATATAAGAAATCCACATATTGCAGGCCGAATAAATGTAATTATGAAAAAATAAGGGTTTTTTTTTTTTATCATAAATACACCTTACTTCACGGGGCGGTTATAATTTTCCGATGAAAAAATTGTTGTTTCACATTCTAAAGACTAGTGAAGCTCAGTTAACATGCATTAGAGTACTAAATCAGTATATAGGTCAACATTAATAGTATATTTTGCCCTAATTTCAAAAGATGCTTATTTGCATAAGAATCTTTATTTCCTTAGCAATTAATTAAGATATATGTAAATATGGTATCAAATTTCAATGTGCAGTGGGACAATCCTTGGATGGGTATTCATGATCTCAGTGGGGTTCAACGCTGCAGTTAGGTAATATATATATACACACATCATAATATATAGAATAATCCAAAATCTCTAATTATAACTGTGATTTGATTATTGAGTATAGTATAAGGGTTAGCAATGAACTCGGAGCCAAACACCCAAGATCGGCTGCTTTTAGTGTGGTGGTGTCTACCGGAACATCTTTCATCATAGCGGTTATTTGTGCAATAATCGCAATTGTCTTCCGCCATCAAATGAGTTATGCCTTCACCTCCGGCAAAGTTGTTTCCGATGCAGTTTCGGACCTTACCCCGCTTTTAGCCGGCGCCATTGTGCTTAATGGAATCCAACCTGTTTTGTCCGGTAATTAAATATTATCTTCCTCTTTTATTTATTTTATTTTTTTTGGCCAAAAACAAACTGTTATTTCGTTAATTAATAAGGAGGGGGCCTTGTTAAAACCTCGTCAGCAATAACAAGGAAAAGTGTACCCCTAAATTACAACAACGTTTGTTTCGTGATTGTTGATAGAATCAAAGATTGAGATTATAAAGGGAAGATTCAATATGATTCAGCATTACTATTATTCAATACGTATTTTTGTCGCTAATATTATAGATTTTCTTCCTACTCATTATTTATAGTTTTTGCCTTGACGAAATATATATTTATAGATGTTACGTACTGTTTTATCTATTTGTTTATTTATTTATTATGACAATCAGGTGTGGCTGTTGGGTGTGGATGGCAAGCATTTGTTGCGTATGTGAACGTCGGTTGTTACTATGTGGTCGGCATTCCAGTCGGCGCAGTTCTCGGTTTCAAATTTAACCTTGGCGCCAAGGTATATATAGTTTTTTTAAATAAAAAATAACAAGTTTATTGAATTTTTTCGAATTCGAAATCTAACGATCTTTTTTTTTTTAATTGAATAATAATATTAATTGGTGGAAATTATATAAGTTGTTGTCCGGTGAGCTGTGTGTGTAGGGAATATGGGCAGGGATGCTGGGAGGCACGCTCATGCAGACCTTAATACTAATATGGGTTACTCTCCGAACTGATTGGAAAAATGAGGTGCTATATATATTACCGTCACCCTCGAGGCATAATTACGGTCACCCTCGAGGCATGCTGAGATTACGAAAACCCCCCTCATGTTTGGATAATTAAACCACCCCTCAATTGTATATTGTCTTACACGTCCACTTTTACGGTGTTAAATTCACCTATGGAATGAGGCGTTTTTTCGTAAGACAATACATAGTTGACAGAGGTGGTTGTAATTATCCAAACATGAGCGTTTTTTTTGTAATTTGGGTTTACCTAAGGGTGACTGTAATTTGCCCTAGAAACTATAAAATACGTTAAAATTAAATAATATATGGAGGTTTACTACAACGTGGAATTTCTCGAATTTCAGGTGGAAAAGCAAGTATTCGGATAGACAAATGGAATGATTTGAAAGAGAAACTTCCTATTGAATGATTCATCACCAGAGGAACTATCTGTCGTTTATATATATATATATATATATATATATATATATATATATATATATATATATATATATATATATATATACACTAGTGATGGAGCACCGCGCAAGGCATAGTTCCAAACTTCCAAGTATGTGAGATGTTTGTATTCATAAACTTTCAAGTAAAAAATATAACAAAAGTTAATATGAATATATAAATACATAATTTTATATATATGGGAAAATTAATAGCTAGGGGTCAAGGAAGTACAGATTATTCTAAGAGCTATAAGAAAAAAAAATTAAAAAAAAATAAGCTGCAAACCCAAAACACCAAGTAGATCGGAGATCTCCGCCGGCTCAGTACTCCTTCCCAATGTACACGGCCAAGACCCAATTGCACTATCAGAATCAGTCACCAATAAGAATAACGAAGAGAATTAACAAGGTCATTATAGTCGTTTTAAAAGTACCTGTGCTCAACATACAAAGTCAATAGCAGAAAAAAAATATTAAGCTACAAAAGCAATAAAAAATAAAATACACAGAGTAAATCAACCTTTGAGTCGAAATTTAGAATTTCCAATCAGGATCTGAATTTCTCAATCGGCAGGCACTTAGTTCCCATATATGCAATCGATTAAATTCGGATGGGATTTTCTCAAGTTTAATTATGCCTTTGTCAACTATGTCTCGATTAAAGTGTTTAGTTCAATGGTGAAACACCAGATTTTTCAAAGTTGAATCGTGATTTTTGTCCTAATCGACAACTACTTCACCTTTAGCAAAACCAATTTTCATGAGAAGCTCTTTAGGCCAAATAACTTCTTTTAAAGCCTCAGTTGCAGCAATATATTCTGATTTAGTGGTAGATATAGTAGTAGTAGATTTAGTAGTAGTAGTATATATGTTGCACTTGAGATTTTCAACTAATGCACGAGCCAAATAGGGTGAAAACATATGAATTAGTTGATTTTCTATTATCTCTATCATTGACATAATTAGAATTCAGCTATCCAATTAATTCAACACCCTTACTAAATTTGGAAAATTTAACCCGAAGTTCAAATACCATTTCAAATATCGAAGAAGTCATGTACGCGCTTTCCAAAGCAGCATACCGAAATTTTGACTGTTTTATTTTTGTTGTTGATAGAATGGAAGTCGTGTGTGGGGAATTTCTGCGGATTGGAAGTTTCCTTTCTTGATTTGTGTGAGTCGTGAAAATTTGCTAGTTGTGTCAAATGCTAGCGGCTGTACTCGTTGTTGGATTATGTGTTTATGGGAGCCGATGGAGAACTCTCTGATGTACTTGCTGTTTTGGGTTTGCAGTTTATTTATTTTTAAATATTTTTGTTCTTAGTGTTCTTAGAATAATCTGTACTCCCTTACACTGGCGGAGCTTCTAAGGGGCAGGGGGGCTGTTGCCCCCCCAAGAAAAAAAAATTTTTTTTTTTAGCTATTTTGACCTAATATTTTTTGAATATTACTTTTGACCCCCAAAGATTTTGTAAATATGTTTCTTAACCCTTACTTTTTTGTTTATTCTCCATAATTTTATATAAATTATAGATATATATTATATTATAGATATGTGTCGTAATTTTTTTCGCAGTATAAACCTATTTTTTCAATGTCTTGTGAACCTAAATTTTTTTTCGGAGCGCTGCCCCGAACCCCGAAATTTTAGTTAGCCCCCCCTACTTTCTAATCCTGGTTCCGCCCCTGCTCCCTTATTCCCCAGCTATTCCCATAGATATAAATTATGTATTTAGGATCATATTAATTGGGTTTTAATTTATTAATGTCTGATGACGGGTACCCAACACTTTAGTTTTATTTTTAAGGGCAAATTGCACATCACCCCCTGTAAAATTCTAATTTTTGCACTTTATCCCCTCAAAATTTTCAAAAGTGAATGGCCCTCTTCAAAATATTATTCATGTTGCACATTGCCCCAATAGCAAAACTCCGATAGATTATTCATCGCAGTTGAATATTTTTGTTATACATTGCCCCTATAAATGTTATTTTTGTACCACAATGCCCTCCAAAAATTGGTTTTGGGGGCAAAGTGCAACCAAAATAATATTTTGAACGAGAAATATCCATTTTTTTTTATTTTTAGGGGGGAAAGTGCGAAAATGAAAATTTTACATGGGTGACGTGCAATTTATCCTATTTTTAATTCAAAGTTTATGAATAAAAACAACTCCGACGCTTCTACATGCAAATATGTTAATAGGGTATTGCGCACCGGTACTGTGCCCTTGAAGGGTGCTCCATAACATTTCTCAAGTCCCTATTATTTTTTATAACAATATAAAAAATCGTGTATAATAGTATTAATGGCCCCCGTTAGAATTTTTTTTTTATGCATCGGGCTCCCTGGGACTTAAAATTCTGATTCCGTTAGTGGACACTGGAGCCTGATATCAATCATTTCCTCTGGTGATGAATCATTCAATAGGAAGTCTCTCTTTCAAATCATTCCATTTGTCTATCCGAATACTTGTTTTTTCCACCTGAAATTTCAAGAAATTCCACACTATAGTAAACCTCTTTTTTACAGGGAAAAGTTTATAAATGTTTTCTCAACTATATTTATAATTTCATATGGGATATGCATGCATTTACTAAAAAAAATATTATATAACATTGTTTATTTTCATCAATTAAGTATGCGTACTAGTTTTTTTTCTTATAAGTTAATGTTGTTTTCATATGAAGAAAGCCAGGGTGCCACAATTTCTAACTTCAATATTTGAATTTTAAATGTATAAGTTATTCCTCTATATATATTATTTAATTTTAACGTATTTTATAATTTTTAGGGCAAATTATAGTCCCCCCGAGGTAAACCGAAGTTACGAAAAAACACTCATATCCCACCTCAACTATAATTTTTAGGGCAAATTATAGTCACCCCTTAAGTTAAATTTGACACCGTAAGGGTGGACTTGTAAGACAATACATAGTAGATTAGGGGTGGTTGTGTAATTATCCAAACATGAGGGATTTTTCGTAAAAAAAAAATTTCGGTAATGAAGGAACCCGCAGCCAACCATATAAGTGCACTGGGTAAACCCACACTCTCGTATAATAGCTTGCAAACCATACGAGACATGTAAAACACACTAGGCTAACCATGAGTGCTCGACTTAGCAACCGTTAGCAAATGGATTCGAACCTGGGTCAATTGACACAGGCTAAACCGCTAGGCCATCTCTTGCGAGACTGTATTTTTCGTAATTTGAGCATGCCTCAGGAGGTGGTTGTCTAACCAAAATTATATCAACCAAAAGGTGATAAAAATAGGTAAAATAAATATATAGCACCTCATTTATCCAATCAGTTCGGAGAGTAACCCATATTAGTATTAAGGTCTGCATGAGTGTGCCTCCCAGCATCCCTGCCCATATTCCCTACACACACAGCTCACCACACAACAACTTATATAATTTCAACCAATTAATATTATTATTCAATAAAAAAAAAATACAAAAAAAATCAATAAATTTGTTATTTATGATTTAAAAAAAATATATATATACCTTGGCGCCAAGGTTAAATTTGAAACCGAGAACTGCACCGACTGGAATGCCGACCACATAGTAACAACCGACGTTCACATACGCAACAAATGCTTGCCATCCACACCCAACAGCCACACCTGATTGTCATAATAAATAAAACAGTAGATAACATCGATAAATACATATTTTGTCCCGGTAAAAATACTTGGTTGGAACTCATCACTAAATGCATACAGGAAAATACGTAAAAAAAAAAAGTAATAATGAGTACGAAGAAAATTTATAATATTAGCGACAAAAATACGTATTGAATAATAGTAATGTTGAATCATATTGAATCTTCCTTTTATAATCTCTATCTTTCACTCTATCAACAATCACGAAACAAACGTTGTTGTAATCTAGGGGTACACTTTTCCTTGTTATTGCTTGACAAAGTTTTTAACGAGCCCCCCTCCCAGTTAATGAAATAAAAACTTTTTTGACCAAAAAAAATTATATAAATAAAAGAGGAAGATAATATTTAATTACCGGACAAAACAGGTTGGATTCCATTAAGCACAATGGCGCCGGTTAAAAGGGGCGTAAGGTCCGAAACTGCATCGGAAACAACTTTGCCGGAGGTGAAGGCATAACTCATTTGATGGCGGAAGACTATTGTGATTATTGCACAAATAACCGCTATGATGAAAGACGTTCCGGTAGACACCACCACACTAAAAGCAGCCGATCTTGGGTGTTTGGCTCCGAGTTCATTGCTAACCCTTATACTATATACACGAGCCAAATCGCAATTATAATTATAGAGATATTGGATTACTCGCTATATATGTATAGAGGGTTAAATACATTTTGCACCCTTATACTATCATCACTATCACATATATCCCATGCACTATGAAATGCGATAAAACAACCCGACCGTCCATCTCTGTTACAAAAGTTGTCCCTTTCAATAGCTGTTGGAAAATTTCAGACCAAAATACGCCTTTGATTGTGTATAAAAGGTGTGCATCATTCTTCACTCATTTGTACTCAACGTCTTCCTAATTTTCATTCTCAGCCCTTTTTTAACCAAAATTTCCGAACAAATTTTACATTCTAGAAATTATTTTTAATTTCTTTTCAAATTTATAAATGAATTACTCAATTTAAAAATGCCTTCCGGTGGTTCAAATTCTCAAAGTCATATTTTAGGTCCAAACAATACATGTCATATTTTTCTGGAACCACTTTTGTTTTGATGTACGTGTTCGAATTTCTTTTGCCCAAGTTACATTGAATTTCTATTAAATAAGAGTAAGGGAAACAAGGTAACTATATTGCAAAAACTAACACTGTTAAAGTTGATTGATAAGGTGAAGGGCTGTTTTGTCGCATTTCATAATACATTGGAGTATATGTGACAGTGACAATAGTATAAGAGTGCAAACTGTATTTAACCACATATATATATATATATATATATATATATATATATATATATATATATATATATATATATATATATATATATATATATATATATATATATATATATATATCTATATATATATATATATATATATATATATATATATATATATATATATATATATATATATATATATATATATATATATATATATATATATATATATATAATTTACCTAACTGCAGCATTGAACCCCACTGAGATCATGAATACCCATTCAACGATTGTCCCACTGCACATTGAAATTGATACGATATATCAATTTTTTTTATATATATATCTTAATTAATTGCTAAAGAAATAAAGAGTCTTGAGCAAATGAGCATCTTTTGATACTAGTGCAATATACTATTAATGTTGGCCTACATACTTATTTATTACTCTAATGCTTGTTAACTGAGCATCACTAGTCTTTAGAATGTGAAACAACAATTTCATGGGTAAATTTCAACCGCCCCTTAGCTAATGTCTATTTACGGAAAAAAAACCCCTCATTTTTCCATAATGACATCCATCCCTGCAATTTGCAGATTTCTTACATTAACATCCTTTTACAGGGAGTGGTTGTAAGAAATTTACAAACTGTAAGAGGTTGGATGAAATAACTGTGTCATTCTTTACCTTTTTTTTTTCTTTTTCTTCAAACCAATTCAAAATTAATTCCAAGACAAATAATATTTAGTAGAATAAATTAGCTCAAAGAGTTGGTACAATTAAACCTCTATAAATTAATACAATTGTGACTATCAAAATTCTATTAATTTAGCGCAATACTAAATTATCAAACTAATAATTTAATACGTTTTTATCGAGTCGGGACCGAGAGAAATTATTATTTAAGGGTTTACTATTAATTTATTGAGTATTAATTTATCGAGGTTGTACTGTAAATGAATTACCAGATAGCAAGAGAGTCCAAAGCAACTTCAGGGTCAGGCAGCAAACCGGCAATCAAAACAAGAATCTGAAAATACCAAGTCTCCAAACAGAGCATTACCGCAGAAGCAGACGACAGCTTAAAAAAATCCCAAAGCCCCGAAAAAGCCATCAAACTGAACCCATTCCACGTCTTTTTACACCGCTCGGAAGTCAAAATGTAGACGAACTGAGCTATAACAATAATCCACCACGACAAACTCAGCACCAAACCGGCCCCCAATAGCCCCCACTCGAACACATACAGAGCAACCCACGTCATGAAAATGTGCACAACCAGCGCACCGGCCGATATATACGCACTCGGGTTCACTATACTCTGCGCCTGCAAGAATTTCTGTATCGCGAAATTTGCGGCGTACGCAAAGATTTGAGGTATTAAACCGTAGACGAAGAGCGCAGCTGCAGATGCAACTGATTTTGATTCGCCGAGGAGGAGCAAGATTGGCTTGCAGAATATGTAGACAAGCATTAGGGGAAGCCCTGTTGCCATTAGTAGGACTACTGACCTTTGCATGTATATCCCAAGCATTTCGTATTTGTGGGCCCCGTACGCCTGCCCGCACAATGTTTCCACTGCACTTCCCATTCCGAGCTGGTCGTCAATAACAAGATTCAAATTTTGATCAGAGTAAAGTTTCAATTCTAAAATCCACATGTATCAATAAACATGTACGAATTTAATTATCTATGCGTGTAGTTTTATTGAATTTTTTTATCATCATGCACGAGATCTTTACATTTGCAAATTGAAACTGAACTTATAGCTAAAAAAAATATTAGGAAATGATAAAGTAGGTGGTTCAAATCAAATCTAAAACAAGGGTTTATTACAATTAGTACCCCTGTATTATATCGAATTGCTACTTTCTCAGTTCCATATTACAGTTAAACTTCTATAAATTAATACAGTTGGGCCAATCAAAATTTTATTAATTTAGCGAGATATTAACTTATCAATAAAGTAATAATTATTAATTTATACATTAATGAATAACTTATTCATTTATGAAATTACTTTAATTATTATTTTCAATAAATACATTTTTTTTACGTGTATATTATTCATTGCACTATAGAGCCCGTTTAACAAACGGAGCTCTTAAAGCAACAATGGTATAGAACGATTTTATATTGAGTTATGAGAAAACTGTACCGAAAGTTCTAACCATGTTAAGAAAATTGAGGGACGAGATTGATGGTAATATGATCTTAAAGAAACAAACTACAATTAAATTATATTGTATTAAGCCTTTATAGATCTATAAAATATGCATTGTACCATGTAATTTAAGAATTATTTTTATGCATTATTAATTTACATAATATATGAGGTTTTTTAAAATTTTCGAATGTATCTTATAAATTTAGCGAATTATTAATTTAGCACGTTGCTCCCGAGTCGGGATTGGGAAAATTTATTATTTAAACGAGGTTATTAATTTATCGAGCTTCTACTGTATTTGTCTTTTCGGAGAATTTTTTTGTCCACATTTATTTGTCACTTAAGAATTTCCAGAAAATATTAATTACATTTTTCCCAATTTTACCTATTATCACTCTTACTCCTCTCTTCTTCCACAATATCTGTCACTTTAAAAAAAAATTTGTTCCATAATATATGTTACTTTAGATTTCAAATACTGCATTAATTACGTAATTGTCAATTTTACCCTTATTAACTATCTCCAACACTCTCTCACATTAATTATTGGCAAGGGCATTTTAGTATAAAAGCATATATTTTCCTAAAATTAAGCAACATTTATTGAGATCCTTAATCCTTGTGCAGAAGCTGAAAACGACAATTATAAAGGAACGTATGGAGTAATAAGTTAGACGAAAAATAATTAATAACAAGAGTATTTTAGTAATTACTAAATTATTCTGTAATAATCGATGCATATTTATTAAGTTTTTTTAATACATGCGCAACTACCAAAAACAACATATAATATGTGACGGATGGAGTAAAAAGCTACTCCATGTTATTTTATTAGCAAAACCCCCCTATGGTTCAACTTTTTTAGCACAAAACCCCCTAAATTTTTTCGCCAGTAAAATAAGATATCGTAGTTTTCATGCAATTCGAGGGTAGTAATTGCAATAAACTCCCTAAAACAATCCATACTTGATAATTGATATTGAACTTATAAGCTAGAGCTAAATTGTACACTACTTTTTTTCTATAAAAAAAAAATAAAAATACAACTTTATTTATTTATTTTTTTAAATTCAAGTTTTATTTTATTTATCTTGGATAGGTAATGATATATAGATGCAAAGAGAAAAGGAATAATAAATTGTGTGGATTAAAAGTAATTACCATGAGACCATAGGCCAAAAGCTGGATGCCATTATTTCCAAGTGAAGAAGCAGCTAGTTCAAGATTTCCCAAATGCCCACAAAATATGATAGTTGACGTGGAAGTAAGATTGTTCAGCAAATATACTATTACAGCCGGGCCCGCCAGCCGGAAAAGGTACCTCAGCTCTATTACACTGGCTTTCCGGTAGCGGCGCCACCACGACAAGGTGGCGTCCGACAGTATTTCCTCAAGCTCGGAGCTTACCTCCTCCGCCGCCGCCTCCGGTGGCGCCGGTTTATAGGATTCCAGCAAAGGTTCGTTCACCACCGCCCCTTTGTTTTCTGAGGAAGCCATTTCTTTTGGCTCGCAGAAAAATATGGTATTTTGAGTGGCCAATTTTGGGACCATTTAAATATTCTTTTTTGTTGTTGGTCAAAATTAAATTATTATATGTGGTTTTCCAGCTATAATGATTAGTCACATCAAAATTTAATTAGTGGTGTTTGTATACAAAATGGCATTTTGGTCGTGCACGTCGATTCATGGTCGTTTCTGAGAAATTGGACGGCATTTTGGTCGTGCACGTCGATTCATGGTCGTTTCTGAGAAATTGGAGGTGCGACGCAAGTTTAAACGAATTTGTAAAAGTGGGTCCCTGTTTGTGATATATAATGTATAACACTAGCTCATTTTAACGAATGTGATTGAGCAAGAGTTTTTATGGAAGTTAAGATTTTGGATAAAATATGACTAAATATTGACGAATTGTAAAGGTATATTAAAAGTTTACGGGGTTTGGGCAGAGGCCTAAAGTTTTTGTGAAAATAGTCGTATAAATATTACTCCCTTCGTTCCTAAATAAGTCTTAAATAAGTGTCGCTTTTCACTTTTCACAAAGATTAAGTAATTCAATAAATGTAGTTTGATTTTAGGAAAATCATATAAAAATGATTTAAACAACCTTTACCATTTAACGATTTATAAGAGATAATTAATGTTTAGAGATACATTAATAAAGTTAAAACAGTCAAAATACATTTATTGCAGTATTGGAAATATAAAGTGACAAAAAATATGGAATAAAAATATTTAAAAAATGAACAAGTAATATGTAACATTTTTTTAAATATAATAAACTAAAATACAGTATATTTTAAACAACTAATTACATATGCAATATCGAGCATAGTACAAACCATAAAGGACATTAGGTACAAACTGTATAGGTTTCATTTCAGATTCAGTCTTACTTATCATGAAATGAACAATTAAAGCCACAGAGGCAGCTTCTACAGAATTCTTAGAAAAAAATTCAAAAATCTTTTTAACATATGAAATCTTATTCATAAATAAGGTTTGATCCTTTCGGTCCGTTTCAATATTAATTTCAAGAAATTTCTTGGCATCTCCTCAGTACTTCATATCAAATTGTTCACTTGGATTAGTTTTGATATAATCAGTAGAGGCCATGCAAGAACTAGTTAAAAACATATCATCGACGTAAATCAACAGAAATGTAGAAACAAACAAATTCTCTTAAAGTAAGTGCATGGATCATAAGCACTTATTTTAAATTTCAATTAAAACATGCAAGAGGCAATTGTCTTATTCCGTTACCTAGATGATTGTTTCAACCCATACAAGCATTTTTAAGCTAACACATATGTTCATTTTTAATTAGTAGGATCTACAAAGCCACCGAGTTGTTTCGTATAAATCATTTCTTCTAATTTACCATGCAATAAAGCAGTTTTAACATCCATTTGTAGGGGTGGTTTCGGTATGGTTACCAAACATTTTGTTCAATACCGTGTACCTACCGTATCTTTCGGTATTGAAAAATTCTATACCGTTACCGTACCAACAATTGCGGTATACCGTTATTCGGTATACCGTTAGTTTCGGTACGGTATGATCGGTACGTGGTAATCTACCGTACATCATTTTGTTGATTAATTCGGATGATACCATAATTAAGATGAATACTAAATAAATGCATAAATACAACAAATTAAGCAAACGAATATGGTAATCAGGAAATTTACATGAATGTACATTATACGACCGTAATAGCACTTCAATTAACTAATGATTACTAAGATATCTATAGAAAAATTGTAGAAATTAATGAGCAAAAAAGTTTCATGGTTTATATAAAGAGAAATAGAAAAAAAACTATGTTGCAATAATGCAAATGAAACAAAAGGGTGAGAACCTAGGGAGGAAAGAAAGGGAGAAGAAAATTATGGCAAAATGTATTCCACTAATAAGAGATTAGTTGGACTTTGAAACTAAAGAAGTACGTTTCATAAACAACTTCAACGAGAGCCAAGTATTGAGTTTGCATAAATATAAAATAGTAAAAAAAAATTATAATTATGTATATATAATATATATAGGATGTATCATATCTTTATTCTTGTTTTTTATTTTTTTAATAATATTTGTTGAGTATATTTTTTTATTTAACAATATAAATGAAAAAATATGTTAACTAATTTTTAAAATAAGTTGCGGTACGGTACGGTATTACCATGGTATTGAAGATACAATACCGCTACTGTACCGTAAGACAATGGTACGGTACCGATACCGTACCAAATGCAGTGGTAACCGATAGTTCGGTATTTATTCGGTAATTTGTGGTAGGTATACCGTGGTAATCGGTATTTGGTAATTTTTGCCCAGCCCTATCCATTTGTTTCAATTCCCAATTATAATGAGTAACTAATTAATGCAAGCATAATTTGGACAAGGGTAACATCAGGCAAAAATATTCAGTGTAATGGACACCCTCTTTTCTAGTAGAGTCTTTAATTACAAGCCTAACTTTATATCTAATAAAATCTACTTCATTATACACCTTAAATAGCCATTTTCAATCAACTAATGAGCAATTTACACACTTAAGCACAAGAATCCAAGTTTGGTTAACATGCCGTGAGTTCATTTCATCATTTACAGCATTTAACCATTCAACAGATGTATCAGATTTCAAAATATTTTTATAAGATTTAGGCTCATTGCCATCTAAACGTTCAAACACATTGAATATCTGTGAGACAAATATGATAATCATCAAAGTGTTGTGGTTTTCTAATATGCTCACTTCTAGTTCTACCTCTAAAAAATTGATAATCATACAAATTATCCACATTAGACAAATTAGATTCAACAGTTTAATCATGCAATTTTTAAGACAATTCAGAATTACACACATCATCCGACTTAACAAGAAATTTTATCCACCACATGTTGAGCAAATTGACGAATAACCACATTGGGACAACAACGAATGAAAATTCATACTCACTATATTAAAAATAACCTCCCTATTAATTATAGTTTTTTAACATATTCCTCTTTAAATAAATGTCTAAAACTCTTTAGGGTAATCTAAGAAAACACATTTCACATGACGGGGTTCAAGTTTATCACTTTTATGGTGAACATATGTAGAGCAACCAAAACTATACAAATTTGACAAATCTACCTTCTTACCATATCGTACATGTTTCTCGCCATTTAATGGCATATATGGAGAGCAATTAATCAAATAAGTAGCAATCAAAACTGCTTCATATTAAAACAATTTCGGCAGTCCCAGAACTAGATAACATAGCCCTTAATCTTTTGAAAAGGGTTTTGTTCTTTTGTTCGACTACACTATTTTGTTGAAACAACAATTTTTTGCCTCCTAATGCTAGATTATTAACACAGTATCAAATTAAATTTTAAAAAACCCAGTTCCGTTATCTCTCTTAAGTGTTCTGATTATTTTTTTCATTTTGATTTTCAATCAAGGTTTTCCAAGTTTTAAACTTATCAAAAACATTAAATCTTTGCTTTAAAAGAATTACAAACACTTTGCGAGAATAATCATCAATATTGAATAGAAAGTAATGATTCCCACCATGTATCGAAACACTAGCAGAACCCCATACATCAGCATGAATATTACTTAGTTGGGTTTGGGAAATGGCTATGAGGAAAAGAAACACGAGTTTGTTTGTCATAAATGCATGAATCACATAAGGTCACATTTGACACTATATCATTTTCAAAAAAAAAAAAAAATTATACAAATACTAAATCTCTTATTACACATTTGACATAGACGTTTATATGATAAATTAGATAAATCATTTTGGACAACATGCACAGATGCAAAAGAGTCAAGAGAACAAATATACATATTTTTCATTTTCAAAGCTTAAAATATTAAAATATATGGGGAAAAGTTTAAAATATCAATGAAAATCTAAATACGAAATTTGACATCCGCCTTCACATTTCTCAAATTAAAAAAGAAAACGAGTGAGACATTTCATCAAATAAAATGGGGTTTTTTTGCAAGAACCACCCCTGTGTAATCTCTAATTGCTGAAAAACCCCTCATGTTAAAACAATTAGCAAGGACCCCCCTATGAAAGTTAGTCAAAGCCAATAAAGCCCTTAACATCTTCTCGTGTTCTCCACGCGCGCATTGTGCAGCTCGGGTGCATGTTTTGATGTGAAAAAAACTAAATATATTTTAAATAAAAGGTTGAAAATTACAAATTAGCCCCAAAATTTTCATAACCCCAGAATAAAGCTCTTAGAATTTTCAATTCAGTCCTTGAAAATTTCTAAAATGCCCTCTCTCCAAATCATCTCATCCCGATCAAACTCTCCACCATTTTCACGCAATAGATACACAAAATGCTTCCCAATTTCACCCACTTTGCAGATATGATTTTTTCCGACAAATTGTTTGCAAGGTACCTCACCAAACCCTTCACTTCCCAAAATCTGGCAAATGCCAAAGAGAAAGGTAAGCATCCCAATTTCTCTGTTCCTTCTCTCCCGAGGAACTCTGACCACTTCAATCGACGACAAATTTAACCGTTCCACCAAATCAATTACCAACACTATATCACAATCCGTCGACGAAGAATTGGCACGAGCAGCTTCCACAAATGTACGGCGACGAATAAGACAGATTTGAGATGCGACTATGACGGAACTTCGTGGGACGCCGCTGCTGGACTCCGCCTGTCTGAGATTCGAGTGTGCAATGTGCGGTGGTCGACGGCTGATTTGGATTGTGAGAGGTGGACGGCTAATACCGACATAGTATGGGGCGGCGGCGGGAATAGGTAATGGCGGCTGGTATGGTGGTGGAAAACTGAAGGAAGAGAGGAGGATTATTTGCTGGTTCTTGGCCTTCAAGAAGAATTCTTTTGGGTGGGGGTGGGGTGGGTCGATGGGGAAGACGACTCTAATTTTTTTTTTTCCTTATTTTTCAATTGGGTTTTGGGTATTCTATGTTTTTAAGTTAAGGATAATTTTGTCATTTCATTCAAGTCAACAATTAAATTTGATAAAAGGGGCAGTGTGCTACATAAAACCAAACATAAGGGGGTTTTTGCTAATTATTTTATCACGAGGGCTATTATGCCTATTAGAAATAACACAGGGGGGGTCTGTGCTATTAGCTCAATAAAATGGATTGAATCTATTGTTTGTTTCAATAAATTAAAATAAATTCCTATCTTTGCCGTCCGAAATCTCATAATTTTGGTCACCTCAAACACATTCCAAACCAAGCAAGTACCTAATAAAAAGAGAAATTGACTGAAAAAATAAAAATTACTCCGTTGCAGTACGCTACGATTTTGAAATTTTAAAATCCATCAATTTGATGTGAAATTAAATTTGAGTGGTCGGAGAGAGAACTAAACGGGGTAGACGACTATACGGTGAAGAAGATAGTGAAGAAGCAGTTAGACAGACATATATATTTATGAATAATTAATTTAACTTTGAGTCCGGTATTCGCATGTAATGAGATTTTGGTTCATTCAGTTTACTGTGGATCGATTAACCGTTTCATCGGCATAAGATAGACACATAAAAATAGTAAATAGAGGATAAAAAAGACTAATAGTACAAGAACAAAATTTGAATAACCGTGTCGAGAGTAGCGAGGAGTAAGATCCTTATTACTAATACAAAACCGACAAGAATCTTAATTTATTTTCCTAGCACAACTTCGCCAAAACACGGTAAATAATCATCTGATTTCGAATCCTTTGTAACCGAATTTCCCTTTTGAGTCAGTATCATTCAACTACCGCAAGTTGCCCTTTTACATCATTCCATTTATTTATCCTGTTTCCTGCGTTCTTCACCTGAAAATTTCAAGAAATTTCATGCTATTAGAAACTTCATTTTTTACAACAAGTATTCAGAAGGTTTTTTGTATTATTAATTTCTGCCGATTTACACTATAGATATTGCTAATCTCGACTATATTAATTTATAGAGGTTTAACGGTACTATTTACATTTAGAATTATGTCACACTCAATTATTTATGACTAAGAAAGTGAAATTAATTAAATATACCTCTGTTTCCCAATTGGTTCGGACAGTAACCCATATCAAGATTAATGTCTGGAATAATGTACCTCCCATCAACATACCTGCCCATATTCCCTATAACAAAAACAAGAAATAAATTATGAATGTAACAATTTATTTCTATATGAATAAAAAAGAAATTAATGTAATTAAATTAAAAAAAAAAAGTTACTACATACCTTAGCGCCAAGGTTGAATTTGAAGCCGAGAAGTACACCGACCGGAAGGCCGACCACATAGTAACAACCGACGTTCACATACGCAACAAACGCTTGCCATCCGCATCCGACAGCCACACCTTCATTAATTAATTCTCGTCATTATATAAACATTAAAATTCCCCCACGCAATTTCATCGAATAAATCGAAAAGCTGATGACGTCACGCGCTAAAACTAGTTTCATAATGTTTTAGTAATTACCGGATAAAACAGGTTGAATTCCGTTGAGGATAATGGCAACAGCTAAGTATGGAGTGAGATCTGAAACTGCATCGGAAACAACTTTGCCGGAGGTGAAGGCGTAACTGTACTGATCACGGAAAACGAGGGCGAGGATTGCGAACACAATCGCTATTAGCAGAGATGTTACTGTGGACACCACTACACTGAATGCCGCCGATTTCGGGTGCTTCGCTCCCAGCTCGTTGCTCACCCTTACACTATGAAGACATACATATATTTTAATAAATAAATAAAATAAAAAGGCAAGTTATATATTTTATTTATTATTGTATATATGTAAATGTATAATTAGTTACTAACCTTACTGCAGCATTGAATCCAACTGACACCATGAAAACCCAAGTAAGGATTGTCATACTGCATATATTGGAATTAATATAGTCAATTAATGTTTTTAATTATAAAACAAAAACTTATGCAACTAATTATTTTAGGAATCAATACAGCCACAGATTATAACAAATAAATAAAAAAATTAGTAACAACACAAATATTGTCACTAACACAAATTAAAAAAAAAGGGCAAATTACGGCCAAGTCCTGAGTTATGGTCAAATTACGAAAACCCCCCTTATGTTTGGGTAACTACAAAAATACCCCTCAAGAGGTAAATTTAGGGATGTTAAATCTGTATAACCGAACCGAAATTACGGTACGCCAACATTTCACACCGTTTACTGAACTGAACATACGATTAGCTTCGGTAAATAACCGAATTACATAAATGTTATATAAAAATATTTAAAAGGAGAGTGGCTGTAATTACCAAAACAAGAGGGACTTTTTCATAAGTTGGCAATACCTCAGGGAGTGACCGTAATTTGCCAAAATATTTTTTTCACTATTCACGAAATTCAAAAAGTAATTTGCATAGTAGAGAACAAATTAATTACCAAATAGCAAGAGCATCCAAAGCAATTTCAGGGTCAGGCAGCAAACCAGCAATCAAAACCAGAATTTGAAAATACCAAGTCTCCAAACAGAGCATAACAGCAGAAGCAGCAGAGAGCTTAAAGAAACCCCAAAGGCCCGAAAAAGCCCGCGTACTAAGCCCGTTCCACGTCTTTTTGCACCGCTCGGAAGTCAAAATGTAGATAAACTGAGCAATAACAATAATCCACCACGACAAACTCAGCACCAAACCGGCCCCCAATAGCCCCCAGTTGAACACATACAGAGCAACCCACGTCATCAAAATGTGCACAACCAGCGCACCGGCCGATATATACGCACTCGGGTTCACTATACTCTGCGCCTGCAGGAATTTCTGTATCGCGAAATTTGCGGCGTACGCAAATATTTGAGGTATCAAACCGTACACGAAGAGCGCAGCTGCAGAGGCGACGCGGTCGGATTCGCCGAGAAGAACCAACAATGGCTTAGAGAATATGTATACAAACGTCAACGGAATTCCGGTCAACATTAACAGGATTACTGATCTCTGCATGTATATCCCGAGCATTTCGTATTGTTGTGCGCCGTACGCCTGCCCACACAGTGTTTCCACCGCGCTCCCCATTCCGAGCTGCAATTAGTTCATAATTACTAATCAATCCCTTAGGTGGTGTTTGCAAATGATTATTTAAAAGCAAAAGTTAGTGATTGTGAGTTAAGTCATTTTTAAGTGTTTATTTTTAAAAGTTGGGGGTGTTTGCAAATATTCTGGAAAATGAACTTAAATAGAAAAAACAGGGTTACGAATGCTTTTCAAAAAATACTTTAAAGCAGATTATTTTAAGTGAAGCAAAAGCAAAAGTTGATTTTGCAAATACCTGAAAACAGATTATGAGCAAAAAAAAGCTCATAATCACTTTCAAAAAGCATTTGCAAACACCACTTTAATCTCAATTAATTACACAGAGTACTACTCCCTCTTTCCCATTTTATTTATCAGATTTTTTTTTTTTTTTTCAGTTGTCAAGATTTCCAATGAACTCCAATGAAGCTTTAATTGTATTTTACCTATATTTGCAAGAAAGTGGGTTTTGAGTCATTTTATTATAATTTTCCCAGAATTCATTTACATTTATTAGTTTTCTTAATACGCGGGCATCAGCTCAAAACGACAAATAAAACAGAAAGAAGAAGGTATACAAACCATGAGTCCATAGGCGAGAAGTTGGACGCCGTTGTTGCCGAGGGCGGAGGCGGCGAGTTCGAGGTTGCCGAGATGGCCGCAGAAGATCTGAGTGGACATCGAAACGACACTGTTGAGCAAGTAAACTAAGACGGCGGGGCCCGCCAGCCGGAGAAGGTATCTGAGCTCGATCACGATGGCTTTCTGGAAGCGGCGCCACCCTGATAAGGTGGTGTCGCAGAGTACGTCTTCCAGCTCGGAGCTGACTTCCTCCACGCCGCCCCCATAGCTAGATTCTAACAGAGGATCAGTAGTCTCTCCTTTGTTTTTTGAGGACCCCATTCTTTTTTTTTTCTTTTTTTTTTTCAAGTACACTCACCAATCACAAATGTAGGTTTCACATATACGTTTTGTTATTATATATAGAATCAAAGGAAGGCTGAGTCACGTGGTCTTAGTTCTATTGGCTAATAATTGAGGGGCTAGACTATGATATTGGAAGCTTTAAAATAAATAAATAAATAATAATAAAAAAAATACAAACTTGACAGTTGTCTATTAATTTTTGAGTAAATTGCGGCTATCTTTTAAGATAGTGAAATAAAGAAAAAAAATATTCCTATTTGGATAAATTACAATCAGTTTCCTCAACTATGAATCTTATTATATTTTCACTCCTATGGGTGTCAAATTCAGCATAATCTTCTCGATTTTGTGTAATGTTTGCTAACTTGTACTCGTTATGTGCAAAAATATAGTTTCTAATTGCACCACAATATGATATTTATAAGGTAAGATACACTCTTATGAACACCTTGTTTCAAAATGTAGAGCTCAATGTATATCTTGTTTTATGAGATATTATAGATGCAAGTAACTATTATAAAGGGTACATTACACCAACCCCTGGAGGTCAAATTACAAAAATACCCATTATATTTGGATAATTACAACTTTATCTGTTAACTATGAATCTTCTTACACATCCACCCTAATGGTGTCAAATTCAACATAATCTTCTAGATTACGTAGAATATTCTATAGTTTGTACTCGTTATGTGGCAAAATGCAGTTTCTGATGCACCGCAATTTGATACATACAAGCCAAAAAACACATCTTATGATCACCTTGTTTCAAAATGTGGAGCTCGAATTGGATAAAATGGGTACTAAATTGAGAGTATTTCATATAATCTAGAACATTCCACTAAATTTGACACAGCAAGGATAGACGTGTAAGAAGATTTATAATTGAGGGAGGTGGTTGTAATTACCCAAACAGGAGAAGTTTTTTTTATAATTTAACCATACCTCAAGGGTTGGTTGTAATTTACCCTATTATAAAATGTGACCACTTTTGGGGTAAAATTCCGATAGATTTTTATTTTTTATTATTAATAAAATGTGTGGATCCCGTCAATTGTATTTTGAATGAATTTTGTTTGATTCGTGGTAGGTGTTGACTTTCGCTAATGAAATATCTTCCTCTTTGTGGGCGTGTATATATAATATATGAATATCTAATAGAATCTTTTTTTTTTTTTAATTATTTTATTAAGTACTATAGATCAAAGTGATATTATAAATGTGACCAATAGTTTAATATTTATGGGCAATACCACTGATAATAAATTGGGCAAATGGCAAAAAGGTCCATCACATGGGACTTAAATGCATTTTAGTCCACAAAAAAAACAGTCTCTCAATTAAGCCCATCCCCATGTCTTTAGTCTAAAATACCCTCAATAATATAATTCTTAACAATTCCACCCATTATGCTCTAACTTCCTTAATATTACACATTGACCCCGGATTTAAACAAATATATCACATTAACCCCCAAAACTTATTTTTTTCAGAAAATAATTTTTTTTCTGAAATGTTTTTTTTCCGGCCAGATTCCGGCGTTGACCGCCGGAGACCGCCGGTCTCCGGCGTTGACTTTTTTTTTTTTTTTTGAAATTTTTTTTTTCCTGAATTTTTTTTTTCCGGCCGGTCAACCACCGTTGACCGCCGGTCTCCGGCGTTGACTTTTTTTTTTTCTTTTTTTTGAATTGTTTTTTCTTAGAAAAAAAATATTTTAATTAATATTACTGTCTTGACTACTAAATTACTGTCTCATACAGTAATATTACTGTTTGGGACAATAATATTATGAATATTATTTTTATGAACAATAATATTATTAATATTATTGTCTAAGACAGTTAAATTACTGTTGGAGACAGTAATTTAACATCCAAGACAGTAATATTAATTAAAATAAATTTTTTTGTAAGGACAAAAAAAAAAAAAAAAGTCAATTAACAGTTAAATTACTATCTCCGACAGTTTAATAACTGCTGGAGACAGTAATTTAGCAACGAATACAGTAATATTAATTAAAAATATTTTTTTAAGAATAAAAAAGTCAATTAACAGTTAAATTACTGTCTCCGACAGTTAATAACTGCTGGAGACAGTAATTTAGCAACGAATACAGTAATATTAATTAAAAATATTTTTGAAGAAAAAAAAAAACAGTCAATTAACAGTTAAATTACTGTCTCCGACAGTTAAATAGCTGCCGGAGACAGTAATTTAGCAGCCAAGACAGTAAAATTAATTAAAATATTTTTTTTAAGAAAAACCTTTAAAAAAAAAAAAAAAAAAAAAAAAAAAAAAGTCAACGCCGGAGACCCGGCAGTCAACGGACGTTGACCGGCC